GGAAGGGCAAGTTTGAAGTTGCTAAAGAAATATGTTGATTTTTGATATTTTTTTTTTGCTGACGGTGTTGTGCATTTTCTTCTCGCAAAGGCGTCAAAGGCCAGATGCCTCTGAGTAGGTACTCGAAAAATTTAAAATATGTTTTTTTCATTTAATGCCCAAAATCGATACTACTAAAGTCGAGGATATCACATATAAAGTTTAGGCCCGATTGAAGTCGGTTAAGCCGTCGTCATAAGGTAATCTGAACTTTGCCCCCTGTGCGACACGTCTTAACTGTCTCCAATCGGGACCAAAATTTATATGTGATATCTTCGATTATAGTAGCATCGACGTAGGGTTGAGGCTTAGGAAATCCGACGTAAAAATTTGCTCCCTAAATTTACGGACCACCCTAATATATATATATCTGTCTCCACAATTCATAAAATGCGTCTTAATACACTCGTACAATAGAGCATGTCTAAGCTATGTACTTAAATCGCCCTCCCTTTCACCATTTGTCAGCGTACAAAATCGATCGATCGAGTAGAAAATTATAGGTAAATACGGTTATAAGAACAGTAATTTGTTGAGCTTGACAAGTGTTTGACATAAGTAAATACATATGTCTGTACTACATACATACATGCTTACAGTAGTAGATAAGGGAGAGTTGGCTACTGGTGTAATAAAATGATGAAGAGAAAGCACCTAATTGGGCCGCTTCAACGTGGACTTGGAAGTTCAATATTTGCTGTATTAATGTTACTACATACATATTGTTAATTATGTACAGTGCTTTAACAAAATGTAAGGGGAAAAATATTTTGGGGAAATTATTTTCAAACAACTTAAATTCAAAACTTTTTTTTAATAAGTATAGCATAACAAATTTCGGGATCGAAGAAGACAAGATTGTTCCCAAACCTTTGTATCGATATTTTGNCAACAAAATAGTAAGGGGAAAAATATTTTGGGAAAATTATTTTCAAACAACTTAAATTCAAAACTTTTTTTTAATAAGTATAGCATAACAAATTTCGGGATCGAAGAAGACAAGATTGTTCCCAAACCTTTGTATCGATATTTTTTATCAGAATTGCTGATGCTTAATCCAAAAGATCGCTGCTAATATTGCGTTAATAAACTGCTAGTCCTGAAATTCCAGAGTCCATCCCGAAATTGGCTGCAAAAAACCTCGTCAAAAACGTCCTGCCGTGCAAGCTATGCAATCGATTCTCCTGTGCCTTTTTATGAATATTACAATAGTGAAAACTAGTTCAATACAATTATAGGGTTCCCCCAAAGCGACAAAATGCACACGAAAAATTTTAAAGTTCGCCAAATTTTTTTTTGTTTGTTTTTTTTTTGNGTATCAGAATTGCTGATGCTTAATCCAAAAGATCGCTGCTAATATTGCGTTAATAAACCGCTAGTCCTGAAATTCCAGAGTCCATCCCGAAATTGGCTGCAAAAAACGTCGTCAAAAACGTCCTGTCGTGCAAGCTATGCAATCGATTCTCCTGTGCCTTTTAATGAATATTATAATAGTGAAAACTAGTTCAATACAATTATAGGGTTCCCCCAAAGCGACAAAATGCACACGAAAAATTTTAAATTTTTTTTGTTTGTTTTTTTTTGACAAAAAAAAATTTATATGCAGTTTTTATAGCCCAACTTTATTTAACTTTTTGGAGTTCTTTCGGGAACCTTTGTAATTTTTAGATTTGTATCGGCCTAATGCATGAACAAAATCGAGTTTTATATGAAGAAAAATGCGCAACACCCTGGGCAAAAAAAAAAAATTAAAAAAAAAAATTGGCGTAAATATTAAGTCGAATGAAACTTGCACGTTACTACTATTGAATGGACTACAAAACTGCATACTCGAAATTTTTCTAAAAATTCTGATAAAAAAGTTGAACATTTTGATGACGATGTTTTTAAATTTGTTTAAATTAAACTGTTAGTTATATGCCACAAAAATAAAAACGGAAGCTATGAAAACAAAAACTAATTAAAGCAACCATCTTGAGACTGATGCATATCTCGCTACTAATTTTTCAGCGTAACACAATTTGTAAGTACCTTGAGTAATTGAGATTAGTTTTAATAAATAATACAAGTATAGTTAAAGGCTACAACATACACAGGCAAACATTGTACATTTGTATGTACATAAAATAAAATGTATGTAAATAAAATGTTGAGTTTTGTGGTTGATAAGACCACAATGCGTCGATTTAATGATGTGTTGGCATGCCAGTGAACTGACTGACATTGGGACTGACGCACAAGCTTTACGGGTTGGCGGACGGGGTAGAATGCAGAATAATAAAGTCAACGTCAAGCATTTAAATGAACAAACAAATGAGTGTTTTAAACGCACTGTAAGAAATTTCAACTTAAATACATACAGCTGTATATATGTATGTATATGTACTTAAATACGAGTACATACACTAATTAGTAGTTTATACGCTACTATCTGCGCGCTGGCTACTAAACGCCAATAAATAAACACTAGCACATTCTCACACAAATACTATACACATACATATGTATGTTTGCTTGCTTGTATATACACAAGTGTCCCTTAGTATTTATCTATTAACGTATCTATTAATTTGCCTTTACCTTCGCCTTCGCCTTCAAATCGCACCACATAAAATTTTCGAAGCAATCGAAACACCGATAACAACCACCAAATTGAAATAATATTTTTTGAAGCGCAGTCAGCTCTTGTTATTTTTTTTTTATTTGCACTTTTACGTTGCACAGTTTCATATTTCACTCCAATAAATTTTTATTTTATTAATTTTATTAAATACTCGCTTAAGTACACTTTCTGATAAAGAAAAAAAAAAACTGAAAAAATACACTTCAACCGAACTCAACAAGTATTTATGGGCGCGCGATAAGATACTCGATGCGTTTATAATTTGTTCAAACGATTTTGGGCCAGCAGGCTCACATTTCCAACTTGCAAGATTGTGCTATAAGATGTATGTTCATTAGGGTGGTCCAAAAATGCGCGTGGAAAAAGTAGAGTCGGAATTTTAATGCTCTCACCCCTTAGGATTGTTCTAAATCGAAAAATATACCCCTGTTTTTTATTTCGAAATCCAAAAATAGTTAGAGGTCGCTCAAAGCGCTCAAAGTTGTCCCATGTATTTTATAGAGTTCTTGAAAATAATGACTTTCGATCGGAAAACTCTGGTTCACTTCAGGAGGCTTCCAAAAACAATACCCAATGGTTTATTTTACCATTTTTTAATATTAGCGATTTTTTATGGGTCAGCCCATTGTATTTTCGGGGTTTTTAGGAGACCTATACAAAATTTTTGATGTTAAAAAATGGTTAAATAAACCATTGGGTATTATTATTGAAAGTCTCCTGAAGAAAAAAACAGTTTTCCGATCGAAAAATATTGATTTTCAAGAATTCTATACCATTTCTATGAAAAATTGGTACTTTTTTACATTAAAATGCATGAAAGAAAAACTTTGAGCGCTTTGAGTGGCCGCTAAATATTTTTTGATTTTAAAATAAAAAGCTGTTTTTGCAGTATAGAACAATCCTAGTGGGTGAGAGCATTAAAATTCCGACTGTACTTATCTTGGACCACCCTAATTTACATATATACGTTCAAACGTACAAATGTGCAGTATGAATGTATTTGATGTATTTTTTCTTTACTCTATATGCTATTCTTATTGTTCTTGTTCTATAATTTTCTTGAGTCGCCAACACTTATTGCTCATCATTCGCACCCTCGCGTGGAAGGAATGCCTAAGCTGGCCTGGGGTGCGCGAAAATTCCTTAAAAGCATGCTAAAAATGTAAAGAATTTATTTTTTAACTTGACTATTTACTTACATACATACATAATATGTATATATGTACATACATATTTAGGTAAATAAACAGGTTCCAACAATAAACTCTCATTTTCCTGTTGGAATGCAGTTGGCAATTGAAACATTCAAATTGATTAATTGACTTGGCATTAATTACGGGTGTATATACATACATACATACTTATGTATGGATATGCATACATACATACATACTTATGTGTGGATATGCATACATACATGTCTATATGGTGCCAGGCTATATGCGGTAAAAAATTATAAAAAGGAATTTTTCAAGAGTTTTTTAAAGCATTTTTCAAATTCTTTCTACTGGAATGCGTACCCATGTACCACCAGGGAATACCAAAACTTAATAAGTAATTTATTTACAAACTAACAAAAGAACGCAGTTGTTTTTGTAGGGCTCTCTTGGCCGTCATATGTTTTCAAAAAGACAATTTTTGATTAGAAATAAATCTGCTTTCAAGTTTTATAGCCAGTTTCATAAAATTTTAACTTAATAATAAAACTGCCAGAAGGGGAAAAAATCATTTCTCCTTACATTGCTGGTGAAACTGGTAGTTAAACTAATTTTTTTTTTTTACTTTTTAGGAACCAAAAGTACATTTCTTTTAATTTTGTTTTTTTTTATATTTTTACTATGTTTTGATTAAGTATATTTGTTAATTGAATACTTTTTTAATTTAAGATATTTGTTAATTGAATATATATTTTTAATTGAATATAGTTTTCAATTTAATATATTTTCTAATTGAATATATATTTAATTGATTATATTTTTTAAATGCATATATTTTTAATCAAATTAATTTATAATGTAATATTTTTTTATTTGAATACACTTTAATTTAATATATTTTTAAATTTAGTATTTTTTTAATTCTAACTCGCTTTATTTTTATTTTTTATTGAATAAGTGATTTATCTGCTTATTTAAATCTTAACTTGTCCTTTTGATATAATCATTTTGTTTTACATATTTTTAATTTTATTTTTAATTAATTTATTTTTTATTAATTTAAGTTTTCATTAACTAAATTTTAAATATATTTAATTTTATATATTCTAAATTTTTATTTTTGTATTTAAGAAATAATTTGTTTTATTTTTTTACTTATTTACTTTTTGTTATTGTTGTAGATGTTGTTGCGTGATTTCCGCACTCTCAGACAAAATAAGACACACTCATGCAACTGCCTTCCCGTCCCATCTGTCTGTCTGTGAGCCGGCTAATCACGTAGCTCATAAATAGCATGGCCGACTAAGTGGCGTTCGAGTGGTAATGAGGCTGATTAGCGGCGACGGATGATCTTACTCGGCTTAGCCAAACAAAAATACAGAGGAATTAGCATAAATATGAAAATAAATATCTAAGCTACAAAACGTATAAACAAACAAAGCAAAACTGAAGCAAAAACTATGTATCTACTATGTGTGTGTTTGCAAAAAAAAAAAAACAAATAATAAATAACTTGGAAAGCATCACATTAGAGGTCTTACAATAGCAACAACAAGCGACAGCAGTAACTCTAACCGGTCGTCAACGCTAATCCACGCATCGATCTATCGTACACCAGCGATTGATCAACGCTCATTGGCGCGTATGACTGCGAGATCAGTACTTGTTGCTGTTTCGAAAATCCGGTTCTCAAATGCTAATGTTTGCGCATTTTTTATGGCTTATTTATTTTTTTAAATATTTACTTTTCATATATTTTTTTTTTGTAGTCGCAGCAGTTGCATAGATTTTGTGAAAAATTCTTTGATACGTTCTTCGCTTGCTTGCTCTTGGTATTTCTTCGTTTTTGTTTTCTCATATTTTATTTATATTTATTTTTGTCATCGATCTTACTAGCCGGAGTCAGCGTATGGCTTGCAGCGTATGGCCTGCGATGAGCAGGTACCCACTTGAGTGTCGTAATTCGAACTCCAACTGAAATTTGTTTCATTACCACTACGAAAAAAAGCTGCTGCTGACTGTTGATCGCACTCACCTACTCTCTGCGAAACTGGTTTAGTTCATCGTCGTTGGCGTCGTCGCCGTCATGTCCAGTCACCTCGTATTGCTCACAACAGTTCAGTCCGTCCGCTTGTCAGTTGACGAGCCATTAATGAAGTATGATTCATTACCGCTTTTTGTTGGTTAGTTTGAATTGATTTTTTTTTTCTCATATAATTTTTGGTATTTTTGCTTTTTTGGTTGAGATTTCAATTTTGTGAAACCTTGAATTAGTCGGTCAATTTGTTGCGCTCGTTCAGTGTTTCGGAAATGGAAAAATGCCACCACAGACTATTGCCCGCCGCTTAGAGAAAAACAAAAAATCTTTAAAGGTGCGAATTATTAAATTTTTTAGAGGAAAAAATTGTAATTACAGCGTCGGCAAAAAAAAAAACAAAAAAATAATTATACAATGCGGCAATTATTGCTGGGCATATTTCGTGGGCATGATTGTAAAACTACAATGAAACACAGCGCGTGATATCAGCCATTGCAGTGAACGATGCTTTAAAAACAGCTAAATAAAAATTTTAACTAAAAAAATTCATTAACCGTTTAATATATTTTTGATATTAATTATCTCTTTTAAAAATTGGTTGATATATTTTTTATTTAAATTTAAGTGGTTCTGCAAAAAGGAATAGTAACTAATTATTTATTTAAGATATTCGGGTGTCTTTTAAGCTAAGCGTACACGGTAAAGAAATCTCTCTAGAGTTTTACTGAAAGAAAAATCTCCTCTCTAAATTAAGTTTACACGGTAGAGCACTCTAGGAGATATTCACTCTAGCTAGAGACAAAATAGATAAATCTCAACTTTTCTCCATCACGTGCTCTACAAGCTGTGTACACGGTAGACAATAGTTACCACTCGCCTAGAGTTAGTTTCCTATCTCGAATTGTTGTCAACGCTCGTTGTATGTACATACATATGTATTTATATCAAAGCCACGATGTAGAAAATATAGTTAGCGCCATCAGCAGAGCGCTAACCTTTCGTCGATTTGACAGCATTCACCTATTTGATGACGGCATAAAATACATTTTCGCAATATGGACAAGAATTGAATTTTCAAATTGTACTTATTTGCCGAAAAAAAATGGTACCTAAAAGTAGACAAATGCACCTAAAAATTAAACATGTACTTACTCTCTTCGGTACTACTTATGTATGTGTACTTTTGGACTCACATCAAACAATCTTTAATATTTAAAATTCCCTTGAAAGGAGTTTCTTCCAGCAGTTCCAGCCAAACTACTATACATGCATATACAGGTATTCACCAAGTTAAGCAAGTGGCCTGGTACTCTGACAAAACAGCAGATAACTCAAGCAAAGACCAGGGAACCAGATCACCTGTGAATACCCCTTATGTTTTAACCAATAATTATGCCCCTTTGCAAAGGAAGAACGCTATTGGAAAAGCCATTGACATACTAATGAAAATAAGAGAATGATTCTCGATACATTGTTTGGCTACGTTCTTAATGTACCTAAAATGGGGGTGCTTGGATCAAATATACGATTTAATGTCGTAGCCATTTCAAAATTTAACAAACTGTTAAGAAATTCTTTATCAAGACTTTACCATACGTCTCCGTAGAGCAAAAAGTATATGCGTGCCAAATGAAGTTTTCTCTCGAAGTTTACACTGCTGGCAAATGTAGATAATGATTAATATTTAAAAACTAACTAATACAACTAAAGTAAAATCTGTGGAAAATTAACAATAAAATACTTTTTTCGCAAAATTTATAAAGGACCCTTTTATTTCTCAAAAAAAACTGGGTAACAGTTATTCGTCGCCACGCTGTAAGTGTTCTTTATACATACATTCTTTAATTTATTTTTCGTAAACAACAGAAAAATCCATAATTGCCGTCAAAGCTTATAAAGCGTTAAAGAATGAAATAAAAGTTTCTTCAATTTCCTTTAAGAAAAATAAAATAAATAAATTTGTCAAAATATTTTTAAATAAAAAATACCGAAGTCCCAATGAATTAAATAAAATAGTTTAACAAAATTTTGAAATTTTTATATAATTTCAAACTTCGTTTTTAAACTACGTATAAAACGCTATTGTTTAATGAAAATTATGGTAGTTGCATCTTAATTTATTTATTAAATAAAAGTTTTTAATACGAAATTTCATATGTTCAGTTCAATTATGTGTGAAACAGAGAAAGACAAAAAGGACGGAATCTTGTCATTGTTTATTAATACTTTATTTTTTTGGGTTTTTTTTTTAATTTTTTGTGTTTTTTTAAACTTAAAAAAAAATATTTTTGGAAGTTAAGTAATATGTTTTTTTAACTTTCCTATCCCCAGTTTCACCAATCAATTTTAAAATTTATCAGACTGTTCAAATTTAAAATGGGTGATAAATTTAAAATTGATTGGTGCAACCGGACAATGCTTATTTAAATTTGTTTTTTGCTGTTATTTATTTACATTTATTTTATCATTTAAATTTCTAATTCTTATTTTTATATTTTCTTATTTTTATTTTTGTTGCATACTTATATATTCAACTAGTACATACATACATATATGTCAATTTCCATATAATTTTTAAAAGATGCTCTTCTTTTAAATGTTTTTTTTTTTATAAAATGTATTTTTTAAATGATGTTTTTAATAACTAATTATTACGGCTACTTTTAATTAAATTTTTATATACTTGTTTAAATGGGTTTCTCTTTAATGTTGGTATATTTTGATGTTTTAAAAGGCATTTCTAAAATCATATTTTTTTTGCAATGATTAAATTTATCCAATATTTTCAAATCTAGATTTAGTTATTTTTTAAGACGTTTGCCTCTTAAATATGTCTGTTTATTTTTTTAATCATGAGGTTTTTATCTAATTAGTGTTTTATTCTGCTGCGGACGCTGCTACAAACCGGAAAATTTCACATTTTTCTCTCGGCAGATCGTACAATAAATTTACTAATACGAATTTTCTTTTTGCTTTGTATATTGCTTGCTAAGAGTAAAAAGCTGCTAAGTCCACTTTTTATGAAAAGTCACAAAAACGTTCTTTAACGTCGAATATAAGCGATTCGTATTGAAGGCAGCTAAAATCATAGCACCAGCTGTTTTCCCTAAATCAAATAATTAAATTAAATTTCACAGAGTTCTGTTTCAGTCAATCTCATAAAGATTTCAAAATCGATTAAAACTTCTTATTTGTCGTCTTCAGTTCTTTCAAAAATGATAAATATTCCAGAGAAAGCTACAATTATCTATCCCCATTTAATACCTCATTTAAATTCATTAGCGATGTTTGTCAATTGGCAATAGCCATTGCCAATTAGAAATTCAAAAGAGATACAAATGTTCATGGACATCTTTGCTTAAATGCATATCCACTGCAGAAGAATAGATTAAATTGAAGTCGCACACAATTCCTAATTTAGTGAAAGTTGCTTAATGGCACAATTTCTCGGTAAACAAAAAAATATA